ATATCAGTGTACGGTTAGGACCTACATATCTGTAAAAACTTCGTATTACTCTTTGAATAAAAATGAGAAAAATGCAAATCAATTTTGCTGAAAATTTCCCATTTTTTTCCCGGAAATAACGGTTTTTTTTCGTCGGTTCAATTTTTCTGAAAATTTTAAAACTCTAAATTTTATATAGTTTTTTGTTGGACTGAGAAAGGCCACTTAAGATTTGGGGGCCCTTCTGAACCGGGGGCCCGAGGCGGATCGACCCCACCGCCCCCCCTTAGTCGGCCACTGGTTCTTAATGTATATGCTATACAGTATAGTCAGGGCCGTGTCGCCCATATGAGCGATTGTGCGAGCGCCACGGCCAGCTAATTCTTGTCAAATTTAGCATTTTTATTTTAACTGTATTGCCGAACATCATAAACTCGGTATACGTATACTGTACGGTATACATGAAAATTTTTTAACATCCTAACAAGCATCTACTTTTAAAATATACTTTTAAATGTGTCTTTCTTTTTTTGTAGACTCTCGGCGCTATCTTTAGTACATAGACATTTGTAAATATATTTTGGTGATGGATTTAAATAGTGGTGGCAGTTGCGCTTTTAGTAACAAAACAGACTCAGATGATAATAAACATTTTTTTTGTGACAAATGCAATGCTAAATTTTGTTATAAAAAAACCCTTATTAGGCATTTTAAAAATAAACATCAAAATAATTCTCCTTGCCAAAAAAATACTCAACGTTATCATTGTGAATATTGTGATAGTTCATATAAACACAAAAATACCTTTCTTAAACATTTAAAACAAAAACATCCACATCAGACATTAAAATCAAATCAACAGCAACAAGTTACGTGCTGTTTCTGCAAACGTTTATTTTTAACAAAATCCATTTTAAAAAAACACCAGGAGGAAAAACATGGTACATCTTTAACAAATGTTATTAATAATAATTTTTTGTGTTGCACTTGTCAATTTTCTTGTAATTCTTTCAATGGTCTGGTAACACACTATTTGGAACATGAAATTGTTATAAAAACTGAAAATTATACTTTTGAAAGCTTAGAAAATTTTTTGGCGTGGAAAGAAGATGAAGAAAAAAATGCCCACCAAAAGTTTATACAAAAAAGGGCAATTAGAACTTTGGCCAATGGTATTCAAAGTGTAATTTATTATTGTCACCGTAGCGGTTTCTATAAAAAGCGAGGTAAAGGCGTTCGAAACCTCAAAATTCAAGGTTCAAAAAAGATTGATCAGCTTTGTCCTTCTAGAATGGCAATTGAAATTTTGCAAAATGGTAAAGTTTTGTTAAAATATGTTATTTCTCATGTGGGTCATGATCCAGATTTGTGTCATTTGAATTTAACCACAGTCGAGAGAAAGGCATTGGCTAAAAAAATTGAACTTAGAATACCTTTTGAAGAGATTTTAGATGAAGTAAGAAATTCAGTATGTAATGAAAAAAACTTGGAGAGGCTTCATCTACTTAGCAGAAAAGATCTTAGAAATATTGAAACATGCTTTAAATTATCGGCATACAGGGGAATTCGTCATCAAAATGATGCAACAAGCGTTGATACGTGGGCAAACGAATCGGACGCCGTATTATTTTATAAACCCCAGGGTTTAATAAAAGAAGATTTTCCAGAATTGTCTATTGATGATTTTATTATTGTTATTATGAATGAAAGCCAAAAATTAATGTATGAAAAATTTGGAATGGACTGTGTATGTTTAGATAGCACTCATTCTGTAAATCAATATGAATTTGAATTGACGACTTTATTAGTCCTAGATGAACTGCGGCAAGGGTTTCCTTGTGCCTTCATGATTTCCAATAAGACAAATGAGGGATTTATATCCATATTTTTTAAAAGTATAAAAAAAGAAGTTGCCATACACAAAACAAAAGTTTTTATGTCTGATATGGCAGAAAATTTTTATAACGCCTGGAAAAAAGAAATGGGGCCTGTGGAATTTCGCTTGTTTTGTGCATGGCACGTAGATCAAGCCTGGAGAAAAAACATTAAAAAAATTTCGTGCAATTTTGATAAAAAAAAAGTTCTGTATAAAAATCTGAGTGTTTTAATGACAGAAACGGATGAAACCACATTTTTAGTAATGTTTGACAATTTATTGCTACAAATGCGGGCCGATAACGAATTAAAAGAATTTTCCAACTATTTAGAAAATAACTACAAAAAGAATATGACATCCTGGGCATATTGCTATCGTGTACACTCAGGACTTAATACGAATATGCATTTAGAACGCATGCATAGGACCCTTAAATATATATATCTCAGAGGGAAAAAAAATAAAAGGATAGATACTTGCATCTTTTCACTTATGAATTTTATTCGAGATAAGGTATTTGATCGACTTATATGTCTCAACAAAGGTAAATTAACGACAAAAATAAGTTTATGTAGGAAAAGGTGTAAAGAGTCATTGAAAATACCCCATCAAGATATTTTTTATATTGAGAAAGATAAAAAATGGACTGTCAAATCAACTCGTAGTAACAACTTTTACGACATTATATTAGGAGATAGGCAATGCAATTGCAGTTTTAAATGTAGCGAATGTAATATTTGTATTCACTTTTACTTATGTTCATGTATAGATTCCAGTATTAAATGGAATATTTGCAAGCACGTACATGCGCTTGCAAAATTTAAAAGTTTAGAGACTCAAATGCATACAGAACAAAGAAAAGACAATGAAAATGCTGAACAGCTAGAATTAGTTATTAATTCAAAAGAAGTAGAATCTGAAACATTTTTAAATTGTCTTAAAACTACGCAGCCTAGCACATCAACTTTCCAAAATTTTAAACAAACAAAAGAACAATATTTAAAAAAAATTAAGGATTTTACTGAACATGTTAAAAGTATTAAAACACCAGAAGAACTAAACGCAATACAAAAATTATATTCCTTTGACTTTGATAAAGAATACCCCTCATTTCCAGAAAAAAACAAAGAACCTGCAAACAAAAAAATAACACCACAAAGGCTTTTTAAAACCAAGAGGGAAGTACAAAAAACTTCCTCAAAAATGGCAAAGCCATCAGATGAGGAAGCGGAGAAAATATCTCTTAGACAAATACACAATTAGTCTATAATTTAATGTTTTTTTTTAATAAATACATAATTATTATTGTGCATTTTTATTTCCATTGAACATTATTTAATTATCAATTACCTGTTAATTAATTTTAATTTTATTAATAATATTATTATAATAATATTATTACAGAAAACATTTAATTTTCAGCAAATATCTCTTGGATTATATTATTTTTATTGTATTGGTTATAATTATTTACTTTTGCTCTATAATTTAACGTATTATTATATTATATAACAATCACATAATTAATTAATATTATTAAACAAAAATATGTAATTGTATTAGTAATATTAATATTATTATTAATTATTTACTTTTGTATTTTTTTTTGTCAATTCTTGTTCATTGTGGCAACAGCGCATCAGTCTAAACTTGACAACAAGTTTGGAACCAAATCCTCCCGTGAGCTTCACCTAGCCGCTTGTGGATGAGCCTATACAAGACGCAAAGCAACATTTTAAAATTAATTTTTATTTTGCAATTCTCGACACTGCGATATCATCGGTAACTGAAAGATTTACTCAGACAAATCAAATATCATCAATTTTCGGGTTTTTATACAATATCCATGAATTAAAAAATATGACTACTAAGAGTATTTTAAATCATTGTCTTAAACTAGAAGAAATCCTAAAATATAATATTTCCAAAGATATTGATGCTACGGAACTCTGTGATGAGCTAGAAGTGATTGCTAGACGCATAGAGCCAAAGGCTACACCGCAACAAGTTTTAAATTTTTTGTGTGAGCACAAACTTAAAGAGATTTTGCCCAATTTAATAACAGCATTGCAAATTTTGTTGACGCTTCCTGTGACGGTAGCCAGTGGCGAACGCAGTTTTTCGAAACTAAAATTAATTAAATCCTTTATCAGATCGACAACAAAACAGGATAGACTTGTAGGACTTGCAACCTTATCAATAGAGAAAGATATTGCTCAAACTATGTCTAACTAAGTCTAACTGAACTTGTATCTGACTTTTCCAAGTTGAAAGCAAGAAAAAAATTAATGTAAATTTGTAATATAGTAATTCTTAAGTTTAACGCATCTTCATTTATTTATTTAAATTACCTGATATTTTCGAAACTAAAAAACTTATTATATTTTGTCATTACTAGCGCTGATTTGTCCTAAAATATATTTTAATAAGATTATGCAGTTTATGTACTTTAATTAAGTATGAAAAAAGTATAATGAACAAACTTTAAGGGGGGCGGCTCACAGATTTTTTGCCTAGGGCGGCAGGTTCGCTTACGCCGGCCCTGAACGACCGTTACACAGTACCTACACATGTGCAATGTAAAATATAAAAAGGGAAATTAAAAACTATTTGCTCAATTAATTTGAGATTAACGTAAAATACTGACGCAGTTTTAAAGAAACATTATGTTATTGTTGTATCGTTGTTTCCACAATTTCAAGAAACGATCTTTAAAGTAATAGAATGTCAGTTGGAAGTATGACGGAGGGGAGACATAGGTATATCCGTTCCTTCACTACAAAACGCCTCCCACTGGCGTATACGCTACCGACTACGTCACGTCTGCTATATAATCGATTGCCTACTAACCATTGTTCCCATTAGTTTTACAAGCTGTGTGAATGAGCTGGTTATACGAATTCTAGTCAATTAAAAAACTTAAGTGTATACACTATTGCATATAACCACAAGTGAACTAAACATAGGATTAATTTTTACTCTGTGATTTGTGCACAATAATTAATAACAAAAATTAATTCAAATGTGTGTTTGGTGTGCAGCTGTGCTTGTGAAAAAAGATAAATCAAATTGAACGTTACGGCATCATAATAGCTATAATTAATTTAGGAGCCCTAAAACTAAAATGGTGGGCAGTAACGGCACTATGATTGCAATCCGTCTTGTTCGTAGCAAATTAAGAAAGCGAGAGGAGCACAGCAACTCAGTCCATCCCAGCGATGTGGTCCTCCAAACAGCCCCTGCCAACCCCGTGGTGACCAAGGCGACGGCCCCACAGAACCTGCAGCCTGATCCCCTGGCCTACCGTGGACAGATCCTTTGGCAGTATCCCCCGCCCCCGGTCCCTCAACACCACTTTCTGTACAACAACGATCAGGTAAATTTCTAAAGTATTTTTGTCGATTAAAACAGCTAAACATATGTTTCAATTTATAATTATAACCTTAAACGATTGTTTAGTTGCAAAACAATTAAAATTAACGAGGCCAAAAGTTTAACGGTTACACGGGAATTTCAACTTTATATTTAGGCAACACAAGATTCAATAGTCAAAACCCAGATCTCAAACAAATTTCTTATTTTAAACAGTATAAAGTTTAGAATAGTGACTAATTTAACATCGCTAGTATTGTGTAGGCATATTTTTTGGTGGTTTAAACAAGGTTACTTTAAAATAAGCTAATTAATATTAATGATAACTGATCATTTAGTGCTCGCATGAACACCGTTTCCTTTAACTGTTTTTCAAGTTAAAATTGGCTAACTTTTATTTTTTATTTTATAATACCTTTAATACAGACTAAACTAAATATAAAACTGCTTATTTTCAAGTTCAATGACATAGCAACAGTCTAATGGTCTTTAAGACAAACCGTTACTTTTATAAATACTAAATATCATTACAAAATAAGTCTCAAGTTCATACTTTATTACAACATAAGCACATATATTTTTTGTATAGTTTTTTATGATTATACAGCCTTTATACTGGCTGTCGCGTGTAGAATTTCAAATATGGGCTCCACACAAGTTATGCATGTATAGCTTGTGTGGCGCCCATAATTGAAATTTGTACAACCCGTTATACATGACTTTCAGTATTTAAAGCACCTTGCTTTTGTTTTCCAATTTAGCGAATACAGTAAAATAAAATACTCCTTGAAGTTTTTTTTTGCAATTAGGTACAATTATAACCTTGGCTAAATGTTAATTTATTAAACTTGAAGCCTTCCCAAACGATAAACTCAAAATTTACCAAATATATTTATATTATATATATATAGGTATATATATATATATATATATATTAGGGTGTTTCAAAAAAATTAACAATTATTTTTTTTTCCAATGGTGTTGAAAAATTAATAGTACCTTGGCTAAATGTTAATTTATTAAACTTGAGGCCTTCCCAAACGATAAACTCAAAATTTACCAAATATATTTATATTATATATATATAGGTATATATGTATTAGGGTGTTTCAAAAAAATTAACAATTATTTTTTTTTCCAATGGTGTTGAAAAATTAATAGTACATTAAAAAACAAAAATTTTGGCGCCTATTTGAGCCCTTAATATTAATATTAAGGTTTGCCCGAGGGTTTGCCTCAATTCATTTTTTGTTTTTCCATTTCAATAACACGGGAATTTTTATTTTTTTAATTTTGAATTCTTATAACTTTGGAATGGTTTGTTTTCGCAACACCCAAGCGAGAGGAGTTATAGACAATTTCACGCTCTACAAAAAAACACAAAAACAACAGGTCAAAGTTCTTCAAATCAACTGTTTCAAAGATATCAGCGATCAAAAGTAACACTCATAAAAAATTTCAAATATTTTGATATAAAATACAAAAAAATATCATATGCCATATTTATATTATTTTTTATGTAAAATCACTTTAATTCAGTTAACATGAGACTGTAAACTTTTTTTATTTATATACATATTTGAAACACCCTGTATATACAAACTCGCAAGAGTGCTCTCTGTATACACTTTAAGTTTACCTTGCGCGTTCGATTTCTCTGGTATATACCTAGATATATACAAGGTATATACCGGAGAAATCGAACGTGCAAGGTAAACTTGTATAATACAACTGTATATGCCAGAGTGCACTCTCGGTTGTCCATAGCATACGTTAATTTCCGCAGGCACCTACCCAATCGACGCGCCGGGTAGTACAGCTAGTTATAAAATAAAACAAAGGCGATATCTAAATTTAAAACTGGCGCGATAAAACCCACTCCACTTTTTAAGCTACATTCGTAATGAATTCGCTGGCCGAGTGAGACTTTGGCACGCAAGTCGGCACGAAATTTACCATTCGCAATAACTTGCGAGTCGAATTTAACGCATGCGCGTTGGTAACTGTTATGTTCTGTGTGTTATGTTCTTTGTAAGGTTAGAATTTTGAATATTTTGTTTTTGTTTAGTACTATTTTTTAAATGCTAAAATGGACAACGCTCGATCAAATAGTTCATTTAGTGATGAATTGTTATTGCAATGTATTTCAAACTACAAACCACTGTATGACAAGGCAGACAAAGGATACAAATCCATATTGCAAAAGGAAAATTGTTGGGCCTCTGTAGCCAACAGTTTATGTAGCACAGGTAAAATACATATAAAGCATAGAAAAAGAATATAAAAATGGCATGATATTTAACTTAATTTTATTTTTTAGCGTCAGAAGTGAAAGCTAGATTTAAAAGCCTCAGAGAAAAATACAGAAGAGAAGTGCAAATAAGGGAAAAACTAGAACGAAGTGGTGCTGCTGCTTCTACGAGACCTGTTTGGCCTCTTATGAGTTTTTTCAAATTTATGTATAAATGTGGTGAGGAATCGCAGAGGCAGACAACATCCAACATTTCTCTTCAAGATACTACTACTACATTACAAGCCAGTGAATCATATTATCATCTTACTGATTCAGATGAAGAAGAAAACATAGTTGTTCAAGTTGTGGATGAAAATAATGCAGTTGAATCAAATAGCAATACAAATAATGAAAACTTAAATGTGCCTAAAGCTAAGAAAAGAAAAGGAAGATCGGTAGCAGAAACAACCAACCTTAAATCAGAAATAAAACAAATTGACAATGTTTTAGTGGACGTTTCAGCTGCTATAAATAATTTAAATACTAACAAGAAAGAAAATACTGATGATAGGTATGAACTATTCTCCCGTTATATGGCTTCAGAACTAAAAAATATTGGTGAGCCACATGCAAGCATTGTGATGGAAGAGTTGCAGGTGACAATCATAAATTACAAAAGAGAATTAAGATCTGACATTTAGTACTATTATCAAATTTTGTAAGCCTAGCGGCTATGCACATACAGTCTGCTTTAACAAAATATTCCATAGGGATATGTGCACAGCCTCTTCTGACTATTAGTTTTAGAAATTGTTTTTTTTTTGGGTTGTTTATTATAAGACTGAATATGAGTAGCTTATACTAATTTAAAACTGTTTTAGTTTTAAATCATAGCCCTTTTTGCCTTTAGAAATTGTTTTTTTGTTTATGTTGTTTATTATAATATAAGACTGAATATGAGTAGTTTATACTAATTTAAAACTGTTTTAGTTTTAAGTATTACAAAAAATTGTTATTTTTTTTATATTTATTTTATTTATTATTACCAAACTCCTTACATATTATGTTTGTTTTATTTTATATTATAAAAATATTGTTTATTTTAGTTTAGGAAAGATGTTATTTTTTTGTTTTATGCAAAATTTGCAATATTTTTGTTAAGTTATTAAAAATTTAAACATGAAAAATGTTTAATTAGTGAGTTAATAAAATACTTTTATTTTTTTTTACTGTTTTTTATTTTTAAAATAACTATACTAAAAACAAATACTTATATAGTTAATCATTAAAGTTAATAAAATATAATAATAAAGTAATAAAGTAAAGTAATAAAATAGTAATAATAATAAAGTTACTTACTAAAGTAATAATATAAAAACTACTACTAAAATGACAAATGATACAAAGTTAATAAAATATAATAATAAAGTTAAGTAATAAAATAGTAATAATAATAAAGTTACTTACTAAAGTAATAATATAAAAACTACTACTAAAATGACAAATGATACATCGAAATTCCCCTAACTTAATGTTTTGAATTTGCTAAAACTTTTGTTCTCATTAATTGATAATAAAAAAGAATTTGAATCCAGTGCAAAAGCAAATTAAAAAAGTGGTAATTTGTGTTTGGGACACATTAATTTGTTTTATCAATTGTTTCCCATTGCCATGGTGCAAATTGTGCCCCTTCTCCATTTACATAATTTTTTAAATGATTTCTCATTGCCAGAGCTGAAAATGGGGCATTTCTTGCACCAAGTCTTACAGGAACATTTTGAAAAGCTGTACCCTCTTTGGGAATTTCATTCCTCCATCTCCCTGGTATAACTTTGCCCCCAACTTCCCTATCTACATCACCTTCGGTTAAATATAATTTATTATTTTCACTTCTAATAAAATTGTGAAGACATACAGTAGCCTTCACAATACTGTCTACAGTTTCTGCATTGCCATTTATTACCCGATGGAAAATTCTAAACCGTACCACCATAATACCAAAAGTATTTTCAATTATTCTCCTAGCCCTAGAGAGCCGATAATTAAAAACTCTTTCATCACGAGCTAAGGAACCTGCTCTAGGCTTGCTAAATGGCCTCATTAAGTTTTCCCTTAAAGGAAAGGCCTCATCACCCACAAAAAAATGAGGTATTTTTATATTTGTTGGGCAGTATGGTAGTTCTTTTGATGATGGTATATTAAGCTCATTAGCAAATAATTTTTTGCCAAAGGGAGAATTGTTTAAGACACCACCATCACTCTGAGATCGATATGCACCAATGTCCACACAAATAAAATTATATTTAGCATCGCATACTGCTAATAAAATTATGCTAAATGATTTCTTGTAATTGTAAAACAAAGATCCAGAGTTTGATGGTGCCTGCATAATGATGTGCTTGCCATCAATTGCTCCAAGGCAGTTGGGCATTGACCAAAGAAATAAAAAATCCTTGGAAATACTTGTCCACTCATCCTCTGTCATAGGAGGTAAAATTATTGGCTGTAACTCATTCCAAATAACGCAACATGTATCTTTAATTATTTCACATATGGTTGACACTCCAACTCGAAAACCATATGAAAGGCTTGGATAATTATCTCCGGTGGCCAAAAATCTTAATGTAATGGCTAATCTAGAACAAAAAAAAGAAATATTAGGTTATGTCAAATTAAATATTTTTATTTAAAAAAAATTAAGTAGGTATGTTCTTTTTGGTAGGTACTTAGGTAGCACTAGGGTATTTTTATTTATCTACTTCCCATACCTGCACCCTGGAGATATAGGTTCTCTGTTGGATCTCTTCTTAATGTGTGGTCCTACTATTTGTAAAAGCTTATCAAAACTAGATGCTGACATCCTTGTAAAATTAAAAAATATATAAGGATCACTTAAACGGGCTTCTTGCAAAAGATTTTCATAAAACCCAAATTTTTTGCGTTCCATTAAAATTGGACGAACGCCCCATTTTTTAGGCTTTGGAGGGCCCCTTCGTCTTTCTCCAGAGAAGAGTTCTAACTGCATCAACAATTGCCTTTTTTTTAACAATAAAACCAGCATTGTTGCAAGTAAAATTGGAGTAACGTCCTCTTCATTCATTTTGTTTTCAATATAGGTCACAGATTATAAAGATATAGGTACACTTTGGTTTACACAAAACATATAACACAAAACTAAACGATATTGGAAATCAGATTATAAATGTCAAATTATCATAACAAAAGCAATGCGCATGTCCCATAGCCGGCACGAAAGTCGAAGTCAAAGTCGAAGTTTGCAGCTTGCAAGAAATTTTGCCCACTTCAACTTCCACTTCAACGTCGAATTTCATTGTGAACGATCACACGTAAATACATTTGCTTAGCTTGCGAGTCAAATTGCCACTCGGCCAGCGAATTCATTACGAATGTAGCTTTACGCAACGCCACGGCGTTGCAAGCTCTTTTTAGGTTAATTATCAAGCATTTATTGCCTTTCCAAGTGCTTCCTACTTCCTACCTAATTAAAAAACATGTTTGTTTTAAAAATGAACAAAAAAGGTTTTTGGATGAGAGTAGTAATAACCAAACCAAAGTATTAATTGTTTCGACCTTTACTTGATGAAACTCCATATTAACTATGTAGATATAAAAACAATTTTGTTGTAAAGTTTCACGAAATTTATTAAATTTTGACAGCTGTTTCGCTACACTGTAGCTTCATCAGAATGTATTAAAACTAAAGATTGTACAAAATATATATAACAAAAAATATTGGTATTCTAGGTAAGGATAATCATTTAACATCTACCTGTGTTACATAATAATAAACTAGGATCACATTCAGAAATACCCGAGGGGTAAACCACTGATTTTTTTAAATTAAAAATCGCTTACGAATTAACGGCTAAGGATAACAATAACAAGGGTAGTCATGTACAACGCGTCGCTAAGCAGTGATTAAGCACCGATTAAGCACCGGTTAAGCAAGTTTTCCTTATTGATAACGACTGACAAGGAAAAAAATCTCAACACAACGTTCACTAACATTGAACGTTGTTCTCTAAGATTTTAAAGTGGTTTACCCCTCGGAAATACCTAATGGGGAAAAACCTAATCTGTTTATAGTTTGTATTTTATTTATTAAATATTATAAAAGTGTGAATATTTTATATAATGCTATTGTTATATGTTAATAAAATTAAAATAGATTTAAAAGTGGTGAATTATTAGTTTCTATTTGATCATTGAGAATATTATTAGTATTTTTAAGTTTATTAATTTCTAGAGATTCGAGTAGATTTAATTTAATACCTTTGTTTTCCAAATGTAATATTTTAAAGTTGTTATTAAAAGTATGGTTTTCTGTAATAAGATGTGATGCATAGGCTGAATCGACTTTTAGATTAATATATGATCTCCGATGTTCTTTAATCCTAGTAATAAAACTACGGCCGGTTTGTCCTATATAAGTTTTAGGACAATCTGTACACGTTAATTGGTATACGCCTGACTTCATATGCCTATTAGACTTATCTTTGTTATTTTTTATGAACATACTTAAATTGTTATTAGTTTTAAACGCGATATTGGCATTAATGTTTTTGATAAATGTGGAAACATGTCTCATGTTAGAACCTACATATGTACAAGTATTGAACGTATTAATTGGGTTGATAAGAGAAGGGAAAGTTTGTTTAATAGCTAATTTATATCTTTTATTTTTGAGAATATTCGTAATTAATTGTGCTTCATAGCCATTGTTCACTGCAATTTGTTTTATTAAATTTAATTCGTCGTTGAAATCTACATTAGATAAAGGTATGTTTAAAAGTCGGTGTATCATTGAATAAAACGCTGCTATTTTTTGGGACCAAGGATGCATAGATGAATAGTGTATGACTAAATCTGTATAACTGGGTTTGTGATATATTTAAAAAGTGTGAAAGCCTTTATTTTTTAGAATAGTAAGATCTAAGAAATTAATTTGGTTATTTTGTTCTACTTCTATTGTAAAGTTTATGTTGGGATGAATATTATTTATAAAATTATGAAAACTAATTAATTGTCTATTTGTACCTGTGAAGCAAGTGAGAATATCATCTACATATCGAAACCAATATAAAAAGTTTTTAAAATGTCCGCTTTCTTGGATGATTAATTCTATATGGTTAACAAAAATGTCCGCAAGTAATGGACTAAGAGGGTTACCCATAATTAAACCGTTACGACTAGTATAAATCTTATTATTAAATTGGAAATAGTTTTGTTTTAAGCAAATATCTAGAGTCCTTAAAATATCATTTTTAATAACAGGATTGATTTTATTTAGTTCTAAAAGCTTTTCTATTAAATGGGTAGTTTCTAATGGAGGCACGTTTGGGAATAAATTAGTGATGTCGAAAGAGATTAATTTGGCATTGTCAGGTAATCGGATGTCTTTAATATTGTTGATTAGTTCATATGAGTTTTTTACAGTAAATTTAGGTTTAAAATTGCAATGGGTTGATATTAAATTAATGAGTCTTTTAGAAATTTTGGTCGAAGGAGCAGAATAAAAAGATACTACAGGTCTAATTGGAAAATTGTCTTTGTGTAGTTTAATCAGTGAATACATTAAAGGTGGGCTGGGATTCATTAAGGTTAATTTGTAAATGTCTGAATCGGAAAAAATACTTTTCGCATTTTTTATGATCTGTCTTACTTCTTCATTGTATTTTTT